TTGTTTTGTTATTAAGTCACAGTGTTAGTAGCTGTTGTTTTGTTATTAAGTCACACTGTTAGTAGCTATGTTAGTAGCTGTTGTTTTCAGCTACTAACACCGTGATTTAATAACTGTGACTTAATAACAAAACAACTGTTAGTAGTTGTTGTTTTGTTATTAAGTCACACTGTCAGTAGTAGTTGTTTTGTTATTAAGCACACAGCTACAAAAAGAGCCATCTGTGCTCTCCCCACCACGAGTAGGAAACCCGGTTTCTAGCGGCATAAGGCAGCAGACATACCGCTGTGCCACTTGGGGGAGGAGTATTATTAGAAGCCCACATTGCATTTTTTTGGCTAGACTGCTAGGTGATATCAGTCAGATATATTTTGTGTTTATGTGTGTGTGTGTGAAATGATTTCTTAGTCAAATATATTTTGTGTTTGTGTGTATGAAGTGATTGCTTAGATATATTTTGTGTTTGTGTGTATGAAGTGATTGCTTAGATATATTTTGTGTTTATGTGTGTGTGAAATGATTTCTTAGTCAGATATATTTTGTGTTTATGTGTGTATGAAGTGATTGTTTAGATATATTTTGTGTTTAAGTGTATGAAGTGATTGTTTAGACATATTTTGTGTTTATGTGTGTAGGAAGTGATTGTTTAGATATATTTTGTGTTTATGTGTGTGTGAAATGATTGCTTAGATATATTTTGTGTTTACGTGTGTATGAAGTGATTGCTTAGATATATTTTGTGTTTGTGTGTGTATGAAGTGATTGCTTAGATATATTTTGTGTTTGTGTGTGTATGAAGTGATTGCTTAGATATATTTTATGTTTGTGTGTGTATGAAGTGATTTCTTAGATATATTTTGTGTTTATGTGTGTATGAAGTGATTTCTTATTCAGATGTCTACCTGAATAATACAGTTGACCAATTACAACAAAAAATACACCTACAGTTATGTCAGTATCAAGGGCACTAAACCAAATCAAACAACAAGAATAACACAGCTACACTAATGCCAGTATCAAGGGCACTAAACCAAATAAAACAACAACAACACAGCTACACTGATGTCGGTATCAAGGGCATTAAACCAAATAAAACAACAAGAATAACACAGCTACACTAATGCCAGTATCAAGGGCACTAAACCAAATAAAACAACAATACAGCTACACTAATGTCGGTATCAAGGGCACTCAACCAAATAAAACAACAACAATACAGCTATACTAATGTCAGTATCAAGGGTACTAAACCAAATAACACAACAACAATACAGCTACACTAATGTCAGTATCAAGGGCACTAAACCAAATAACACAACAACAATACAACTACAATCATGTCAGTCTCACGCACACAAAATCATGTACAACAACAATACTCCTATGTACATTGTTAATATCAGAATATTTCTTTACATTTAAACTTGATATTGGCTTTCAATTAGTCCATAATATCACATTTGCAACTAATTATCATTAGTTTGGCTGTAATAAAGTGTGGATAATACTTATCCAATTTGTCTTACCGTTAGGTTGGTAACGCCTATCTTCGTCAACTTTCATTTCTTTGCCTTCCTCTGGGAAATTGTCATTTTGTCCCAAGTTCTCTTGGTTTGTTTCTTCTTCTTTATGCACTTCTTCGTCCGGTTCTCTCTTAATAACGAGCCTTGGTTTAAATTTTACATCCAAATCATTTCCACAAGATCCATCAAGACCGGTTCGATTATCATCACCGCATGTTCCAACCGCCATATCTGATGTCAACTGAAAGCCGTTTCTAAGGCTACCGTTGCTAAGATCTGGCAAGTTTAGAACGTTTTGTAAAGCCTTCTGCACATTGTTAGATTCAACTTGTTGTGCGTGGTCTCTGAACGTAGGAGCTATAGAAACATACGATTCTGGGTAATATTCTTCTAGGTTTGAAATATCTAAAGATCCCACTTCTTCTGGCATATCCTCAATTTCGACTGATGACATGAAAGATAATAAAAATAAAGAAATGTTTTTAATTTGTCATTAAAAACATTAATTAAAACATTTTTAATTTTATAATTTTTTTATTATCAATCTTCTTATATGACGGGAATATGTTGCTTTACAAAGCAGTAAAACTGCAAAATTTATCGTAAAAAAATTGCATCTGATAAAAAAAAATACCCAGTTTTTGTCTGTTCTGAAAATACGTAGGTTTTTTTTTTCAGGGGGGGGAAGAGTCAAAACGAAATGAGTCAATAACAACAAGAGTTCGGGAAACAATAACTTTTAAAAATTAGGAGCTATGAGAAACATTATCTATATTCGCGAAGCACTGTGGGGGATCTTATCTCCTAGACCCCCCCCCCCCACACACACACCCAGGGTTATTTATTTTCAAATAAACAGATTAGGACTTTCTACACCTCCAATTTTATTGCTTGCAATCAATGATCGTGCACGCGCGTTCGAACACTACTTAAGCTTGTCTAGATGAAACACGATTTAAAAAGATTTATGTTATTTTTAGGCAGTGAACCACTCAGGAATTTAATTTCGTAACAAGATTGCTCGAACGAAAATATGTATAAAAACAAAACGTTTCACTTGGAAATAGGAGGGCGCTGGCATTTAGAAGAAGAAAAAAAAGTTTGCTTTTAAACTAGTTGTGGGACTAAACCATAGACACGTGTTTGCTTCTGTCTGATAAAAGAAACGTGATTAAAAAAGCAAATAACTGATTTAACTAAGATGTTAATGATAATGTCTACGTCTGTGCAGTGACAAATATATACTTTCCTGATGCAGCGTTAACACAGTTTAAACGCCGTAAAACCGTAATGGGAAACATAATACAGTAGTGTCTGGGAATATGGACGCTACTGTAACGACAAAAATTACAATCTGCTTATTGTCTACTTCCTGCTAAGCCTTTATGTTATTTAAAATTTTCAAGTACATTCAAGTGACAATTGATTCAAAATAATTTATCTTAAAATGTCATAAAATGTGTTTAGCAAAGTCAAATTGGGCTATCTGCCGTGTCCACTGCGGGTGGAATCGAACCCCGGATTTAAGTGTTCTAATTCCGTATATTTGCCGTAGTTCCACCGGGGGGAGGGACACGTTGTGTAATACCGAAACAAATAGGTAGACTAGAAAATGTTGGTATTTCATATTTATTATTTGCAAATGATGATTTTTGTTCTTCAGAGTTATACACAAGACCTATCTACACATACCAGTCTCTAATTTTTAGCTGACAGTTTGTTTTGTTTGTTTTTTGAATTTCGCGCAAAGCTACAAGAGGGCTATCTGCGCTAGCCGTCCCTAATTTAGCAGTGTAAGAGTAGACGGAAGGCAGCTAGTCATCACCACCCACCGCCAACTCTTGGGCTACTCTTTTACCAACGAATAGTGAGATTGACCGTCACATTATAACGCCCCCACGGCTGAAAGGGCGAGCATGTTTGGTGTGACAGGGATTCGAACCAGCGACCCTCAGATTGCTTGTCGAGTGCCTTAACCACCTGGCCATGCTGGGCCAATTAGCTGACAGACTGGAGGGAATGCAAAAAAGCATTCATCGCCTACTCTTCAGCTACTCCACTTTAATCGAATTGGCAAACTTGGCCGCCATTTTTATAGTGCACCACGGTCCCAAAATGCGGATAACGTTTTTGTAGCAATCAGTTACGAACCATAAACCTTCGCATTTCAAAGATCGGGTACGATTAACAACCACTAGGAGACGCTCAGTCCCAGAATTCTACAAAGATGCATATTGTGGTATCAGAAACACGAAGCTAAAACTTTACCTATAACTCTTCTTTCATGACATCGTCATTATTTGAAATACAGATTACCAGAGAAGCTTTTAGCTATACAAAACAATACTGTCTGAAAGTAATTATTTTGCTAAGCTGCTAGATAAAGGAAACAAAATACATCAACCTTCAATAGACCACTGTCAACTATTCAAATTACAAGTTTGAATTATATAAAATAAATTGAAGTGATTTGACACTGCACAAAACCAGATGAAGCGCTTCCGATTTGGCTGAAGTTTTCTACTGACACTTCTTCTAAACCCTCGTTCGTCTATGTAACTTAAGATGGCGTTCTCCGGTTACACGATGTCCAGAATACAAGAATTTGAAGATTCAATAACTTTATCCCACTAAATAAGATATCGATGCTGATTAAATCTATGCTATATGTTCTCAAATTTGTTGAAACATGAGTTTAATTTACACACACATATATATATAGATACATACTTTAGCTCAATTAACTGGTTGATCGTTTTCCAGACAGATCCCCAGGCTTTGCTTACTTCTGTGCTAGATTGATCGTTTGTTTGTTTGTAGTTAAGCACAAAGCTACACAATGGGCTATCTATGCTCTGCCCACCACAGGTATCGAAACCCGGATCCAGCGTTGTAAGTCCGCAGACATGCCGCTGTGCCACTGGGGGGGGGGGCTAGATTGACCGAGTGTGTTACCAGTTTGATGGATGTAGGAGCCTTCTTTTATATTTATTTTCTCTTATGTGATTCACATTTCATTACTTTAGTATTATTCCAATTTATTGTATGATATTCTTCACTGGCATGATGGGTTGTTGCAGATAGATAAGATTTTATCGAGTCTTGTATGTCTGTTTGATCCCCGAATTTTAACTTTCTCCAGTGCACTACAATCCACGTTCGTAGGTTTTTGCCTCTGTGATGGGTCTTTAGGAGGTTTTGTTTTACAACATCCCCTGTGAATGTGGATGCCAAACGGAATGATACTGATGTGCAAGAAACGGACTGGCAGGTATGCTACATGTAAACTGGAACAGACCTTTTGCTTGGAAGTGTTAACCATTATGTATGCTACATGTGAGTTGGAACAATCCTTTTGCTTGGAAGTGTTAACAATTCTGCATGCTACATGTGAGTTGGAACAGACCTTTTGCTTGGAAGTGTTAACCATTCTGTATGCTACATGTAAATTGGAACAGACCTTTTACTTGGCAGTGTTAACAATTCTGTATGCTACATGTAAATTGGAACAGACCTTTTACTTGGCAGTGTTAACCATTATGTATGCTACATGTAAATTGGAA